TAAAAAAAATTGCGACTATGCATTTCTTTTATTTTTCAATTGCTATTGTAACATTTTGTTAAGAGCCTTGTATTAAATTTTCAAGCTTCTATACCCAATAAGTTAATATAATTTAATATACGGTCTACTTAATAAATCCCTATTTCCTTGTTATATTAAGAAAATTAAAATTCCAAAAGTATCCATTATTAGCCAAAATAAGTACCTAAGAATCTAGAGGTATAAATAGATTTACTTAAACTTCAATGAGTAAAGTTACTTTAGTAAAACCTTGATATAATACGAAGAGCTTTGCTAAAAAAATATGCATAATTTAAAATTGATAGTACCTATATATGTGTATTTTTTATTATAATATTATAATAATTATTGGCTACGACCADCAGATTGTAGAGAATGTTCATTATTAAGACTTATTATCAATTTTGTAGATATTAGAATATCACTTGAAGTTGAAATAATGTAGTTTGTGTATTTTAAATGATCGTTTTACATTTTATATACGTAGGTACCTATTAATATAGTATCAAACAGGTTAAATTGCAAGTATAAATAATTTATTCTTTGAACTATCAGACAATGACAAATAAACATGAATCAGAAACCATTAAAAATTATAAAAAATTATTAGATCCCTCTCTTTTATGAGTGTATTAATAATTTGAGCAATTATTTCTATAGCCTTGTATGTTAAGGTTTACTGAAATCGTGTATCTGAGTAATTCAGGAACGTTTATTGTAATTGGTCGGTGGTTGAATGTTGATACAATATATTTTGATTATATCACATGAACATATTTATAATTTATCGATAATCCAATAGGAAAAAAAATCCTTACATCTGATAGTATAATTTTAGTTTTATAGATTTACTCCCTAACCTAACTTAACCAAATAAATATGTTCAGTTTCCTACAGACTTCTACTAAACATTTTGCTTCTAAATGCCTATATTAATAAGTAATAATTATAATTGTTTACGTTTCAACCATGTTMTTTGTGTATACAATACACTTTTGAATATGTCGACATTAAACAAATTGTTTTCATTTGTTTGTTTAACTTTTTATTATTTTATTATCCTATCGCTCAAGAATAATGACGGTTTTGTTTTGGACATTTTGCTACAGTAGGCAAAATAAAGTAAATATTACTATGTGTACCATGCTAGTATCATTATTTATTTTATCACATTTAATTATATTTATTTAGTTCATACCGATTATCAACATAAAAGTGAAGAGAACATATTTTTATATTTGCGAATACGTGTTAAAGGTAAATATATATTTTATAATAAAACACAAACACCATAACTGTATAATATTAATACACATACTTTGAATAATTTAACGATTGAAAGTAAAAGGAACARAAATACTTATAAGTACTTCGATCCAATATTGTTATAATAGCAATGAGACAAATACCAAAGTCTCATATATTAATATATATATATATATATATATATATATATATATGGACGTAGAAGACTATACTTCTATCTTTCACTATACGATTGTTTTTAAAGTCCAATATTATAGGTCAGGTTAAAGATTGAGAAAACGGACAATAATATTTATTATTATGATTAATATGATTATACTTTATCACTACCCCATAATGAATTCATTGACAATAGACTACATGGTRTCATTTTTGTTGTTATTGTTTTTTTGTCGTTGAAACAAAAAAATAGTATTCAACTTTTTACTATTCATAAAAGAAAGGAATAAAAGATTATTTTATTGTATTCTTGTGACGATTAATATTAATGGCATACATTTAGCTGCTTCTTAAATTCCAGTAGACTCTAACAAAATACAAATAAAACATCGTATTTCAACAGTGCAAATAAATAAATGTATTATCGTGTTGTTYTAATTATTTTAAAACCAACATATGAAATTCACGAAAAAAGGAATTTAAATTTTAAAAACATAATTTACATTTTAGTACAATGAGCTGGATATTTTTGGGATATTATGTTATTTCACACTGATATAAAATACGAAGATAATTAATCGTTGGAAATTTAAAGTAAATATACTTATTGCGATATTCCCTGAACTACATCAAAATAAATAACAAAGAACGATTTATAAAGCATATTATTTATTTTTAAGAAATCAATAAAGACAACTTTATAACTTATAGTGTTCGACTGTCCATATTACAAAATGCTGTCTTAAAGTTTTATCAAACAACGTTAATCTCAGAAATACATTTTTATAAATAATAGTGATTTGGAACTATGGACCCTTAAAATTATAAGATAATGTATATAGAACTTGATAGTTTTATGATATTGGTATAAGACCAAAGTCAACACTTTTATGGATTACTTTGTGCATATATAGGTACTATTCATTACTAGGGAAATTTTCRCGTATTAACTACATATAAATCAGAATCAAAATATTAAAAAAAGTTATAATATCTTGCATAAAAAATGTTTTTAATGGCTTTTAGAATCTAATGATTTTAAGAGTGTGTAATAAATGTATATCAGCTTTACTATGATACATTGTGAATTATGATTATATTTTTTATTTAGTAGGAAGAAAAAATTCTTCAAACCATTAACTTCATAAAAGGTTTTTTTTTATTTTTTTGTTCTTTAAATGTTGGTAAAATTTTGATTTCTGTAGCAGYTTCGCGTGCTAGAAAATTTGATTTTATATTTATCATAAGATATTCTTATAACAACCATAAAATATGTTAGTCTGAAGAGGTTTTTACCATGAACCTATATATATATTCACATTGTTCCATGATTGACTTATTAATTAATACAATTTGAAGGCATTTTATTCAAAATGTATTGATAAATGTACGTAAGTGTAATCATTAAACTATAATATCTGTATTCTGCAGCACTATAAATGCGTTTTAACTGTTTTAAGTGTCAGTGAGCGTGACCATTGCAGGGATTGTTAAAGTATTTTTTTTAARTAGCGACATTATTATATAGTAAATATTGTTTTGTTATGACTTGTAAAGTTGTAAGTTTATGAATGTTGAATGATTTATTTTACAATATTCTATCAGAGCGTTTAGTTTCATTGGTGGTTTTATTCGTCTGTTTTAATAATGTATATTATCCCCTACTGGCCCTACTAAAAATAAGCTAAACACTCAATAACTTAGTACACACCTATTATACAATATATTATTATATTGTGTCATACAATTTCAATGTTTTAAAAATTATAGAAAATATTAACGTTATTGYATCACGTTTAAATCAAATGCGTCGAAATTTCCAATTGGTCGAGGAGAGGTTACTACCTACAACCTACCAATAGTCAATACTCAATTTTGAAATGAATAAAATGAATATATGTCTGCTAAATGAAATATAAAATAATAATGATTACAATTTGATTAAATTTAATTAAGTTAAACCCTCCAAAAGGCAGTCTATTGGGACGCCCCCTTGAAACAGCTTATAAACATTAATCATGCTCAAACGTACGTAATAATATGTACACTATATACCTATAATTTTATTGCTTGAAAAATTAGTTTAGTTTGAAGTTTTAATATTGATTTCATACTATTTTTTTGACGTAATATGAAATAAACTGTYTAATATTATTAATATTATTAAATCATAATGTTTTTTTCTTAAACGAATGCTTTTACGAATAATAATATAATAATGACTCCCGCGCTCATATTTATTCTAGGTACACGAAATG